CTCATTTCTTCCACCTCCATAAGGTGAGGACTGTCTTTGGCAGTTGCTGCTTTTCAGAAGCTGCCAGATACTCACTGGCAGCCTGCCATATTTCCTGGCATGGGTGAAAGCAGGCTGTCAATCATTGTGCATCCTAGGGGCAGGGGGACCCAAGGAACAGCTTTTCAGTACCCCTTGGCAGAGAGCTCACCTTTGAAGCACCTGTGTAGCTCTCCAGCCAGGGGTACCCCAACATATTTTTCCAGTGCTAAGAATCTCATGGAAATTAGTGCTGGAACTGAATGCCTTTGTGTAGCATAAGTCAGTGTCAGCAACCTTTTGCATGCACAGGCCAGAGCTTTTGACTCAATGGGTTGCAAGTCTCAGTCTTTCTCTTGTACCACTGAGCAGCCAGCTGCCAGATGCTCAAGATTTCTTTTCCCCTGGAAGGAACAAGTTGCAGTCCTGAACATGTCATTTAATAACTTAAAGTTTTATCCTTACCTACTTTTTTAACCTATTGCTGTGGAGTAGCAACTTCGCTTTAGTTTCTAGTTCCTCTCATTCCCTGAGGTGAAAGGTTTATTGAGCAATGACATTCTTATCCTTTGGATCCTCCTGTATGGCATCTTCATCATTGTCCTTCAGCTTCTCAGTGCAGCAACAGGGAAGTTCCACAGCCTTGAAACAAGTCTGTGATGCTATATTTACGGGCCACCTTTTGAAAATCCTCCAAGTTCAAACCGTGCCTTGCTGCTACAATCCACTGACTCCTGCTCAATCAGAGATCAAGTTTCAGATTGTGAACTAAGTGTTTTTGTGTTTTTCTATTTGCTCAACCATTTGCAGTTAGGCTGATAGTTTTTGCAGTCTTGTTCAGGTTGCAAGTTATTGAGCTGTACTCATTTACAGACAAAATCCCAACCTGAGTCTTGTCCAGCAAAACAGGTCTACTTATAAACTGAGAAGTGGTGGGAAATGGTTTGTGTTCTCTGTTTTATTTAAAATTACAAAATGTTTGAGTCCAGTCACTGCTTACCAGAGGTCAAAATAAGTGTGGTTCAGGGTCACACTGTGTGCTGTAGCTGTACCATTTTTCAAAATCTCAGAGTACAAAACCTTTTAGTTCACATGGACACATTTATCAGGTGTGTCTAAATGAAAAGAATGGAAATGGATCAGACTAGTGTTCTGCTGAGTTTCATATCCTGCCTCTAGTAATGGCCAGTGCTGACTACTTCAGGAAAAGGCAGAGGAAGGAAAAAAAAACCTGTAGTGGGAATTTGTAGACTAGCTTGTTAAAAGAGAAAATTTATTTTTATTTTTTGTTAGTGTCCAGCTTGTACTGATAAATTATAAATATTTATATCACTTCCACAGTCAGGGAGTAAGCAGGCATCCAAGCTAATCTTAGCTGAACCTAATGCCCCAAGCAGAGAAGAAATCAGTTTCTTTTCAAGTTAGTGTTCATGAATAGTGTGTGTATGTGTGCTTGCGGAGGGGGGGATATATTAAAAAAAAAAAAAAATTGAACTGATCTTCTGCTGACGTGTTTTCATCCTGATAAGAATCTTCCAAGGAACCTTTATTCTACCTGCAAAAGAGGCTAGGTTTTTGGGGTGAAACCATAAGAACCCAAAAGTTTTGCTGGTTTTCATCTACACCAAAATCTTTCCATGATGTACCATATTCTCTCACATACTGTCTCCTGGAATATTAATATACACCTTATTTTTGAAGTCAGAATGAAGGAAAAACAATTTATTGAGAGTTATGGCCCTGATGGAACAGGGACAGAGCCTAATCTTCAGCTGATTCACCCAAGTGTTCCTGCTTAACTAAAACTGAAACTCTAGCTGCTCCTGAAAACTGGTCTCCATGGATGGATCTATGACTGAAAAGGTCCAAAGAGTCTCCAGGATTGTGAAACAGGAGAGAGACCAGTAGTAAACAACATAATTGCCATATGAAAAGTTAGCTTTATGAGTGGAATGTCAAGAATAATAAAAAGGAGGGATAATAGTTAACATCTGTGGAATGAAGAACAATAAGCCATTAAGTCAAGTGACTTCTTTCAATTGCCTTGATAGTAATGATAGACTTGCTAAATTATGGACTAGTAATCAAAGCAGGATGCTTCTATCCTAGGAAAAAAATCTGCTTCCCTACTTAATATAAGTACCGCAGTTTTGGGGGACTGATTTTTGAGGGAAAGGTGTATGTTGGGTGTGAGAAAATTGAGTAATTTGAGATCTTGAAAATGGCATAGCAGAACAATGGGTACCAGTCCTAGTTATATAAAACTATTACTGAGTATCCTTGGTTATCAAGATTCAGAGTCAAATTTGCCGGAGTAGACCAGTCTTCAACTGGCTTTTCTTTTTGCCCTTATTTCAGAAAGATGGGGTTTGGAATTTGTTCCACCCCCTTATTAGGAGGGAAAAGGTACCAGAAATCTGTTTGGTGAGTTGTTCTTTCCATGCCTTAAAAATGGTAGCAAATTATTTTTAGGTAAGTAAAATTGACAAAATGAATTGGAAATTGCCAGTTCTTTTCGGTTAACTCTTGGTTTTGTTTTTCACTTACAAGTTCTGATATAGTTTGGGAGACAAAACCTAAGAAGAAATCTAGGTGGAAACCAATGAGCATCAAGCAAACAGAGAAGTTAGAGCAAGAATTTAAAGAATACTCTGAGCAATCCCCTTCAGAAAATAAGAATGTTGAACTGGAATCAAATGTTTCGGTAACATTGTTCATCTTTATTTATTTTCATTATTATGCAAATACACACAATTGCTATATGCGGTATCAGACTGTAAGGGAAATACTAATGAAATATTGAGGTTATAAATTCACCCAGAATGTGAACATTTGAAAACTGTTCTTTATAACTCTCCAGAAGGTAAGCATAATGGGTGCCTATACATGAGCGCGGAGGATGCTCTGACATGCTGGAATTCCAGTGCATCGGAGGAGACTCAATTAATTGATTAATCGAGTGTGTTGGAGTGTGGCAATTGCTGTGCTCCAGCAGCCTCCTGTGTCTTGTGTATCAGTGCCCCCATGTTTAAAAATGGCAGAAGGGGCACTTTAACTAAAGCTTGTCAAATGAGCTCCAGTTCAAGTACCCCCACTACCATTTTGATACTCTCATACAGGGGACTCTCATACAGGAGCTGCAGCGGTTCTTTAATTAGAGCAGCTTTCAGAGCCACTCACATTAAAGCGCTGCCACTCCTGCTCCTGGAGCACATGTAAAAGTGCCCTAAAACGTGAGGATTATTCTTATATTTTATATGAAGTTCAATAAGGATAAGTGCAATGCCCTGCACTTAGGACAGAACAATCCCACGCCTGTAGCAACTCTGCAGAAAAGGACCTGGGGGTTACAGTGGACAAGAAGCTGAATATAAGCCAACAGTGTACTCTTGCTGTGGAGAGTGCTAATGGCATATGGGGCTGCATTAGTAGGAGCACTGCCAGCAGATCGAGGAAAGTACTTATTCCCCTCTATTCAGCACAGGTCAAGCCACATCTGGAGTACTGTGTCCAGTTCTGTGCCCCCTACTACAGAAAGAATGTAGTCAAATTGGAAAGAGTCCAGCATAGGGCAACAAAAATGGATAGAGGGCTGGGACATGTGACCTTTGAGGAGAAGCTAAGGGAACTGGACTTCAGTCTACAGAACAGAGGATTGGGGAGGAATTTAATAACAGCCTTCTACAACCTGATGAGTGGTTCCAAAGAGGATAGAGCTAGACTGTTCTAAGTGGTTGCAGATGACAGAATAAGGAGCAATGGTCTCAAGTTGCATCAAGGGAAGTTTAAATTAGATATTAAAAAGAACTTTCTCACTAGGAGGGTAATAAAGCACAGGGACAGATTACCCAGAGAGGTTGTTGAGTTTTCATCCTTGGAGGTTTTTAAGACGTAGTAAAACAAAGCCTTGGCTGGGATGATCTAGCTGGGGATAGTCCTACTTTGAGCAGGGAGTTGGACTAGATGACCTTCTGAGTGTCTCTTCCAACCCTAATTTTATGTGATTCTAAGTATAAGGTACTGCAGCATCTGCAGGTATTTGGTTAAGGAATGATGCATTTTTCCCACCTTATATATATATATATATATATATATATATATATTAAAAAAGCAACAAAAAACAAAAATTTCTCCAAACTTGTTACTCTTACTTTTTGTGGAATATTTTACACTATTATAAAAACATCAGTTCATAAGAAGAAATTGAAAATGTGTCACTTAATTGCGATAATGGACAACAATGATAACTAACTATATAATTAGTAACACGATTAGTGAAGTGTTGAGGTGGCCTTACAAATAATTGTATACAATGAAAATTCATGGCAACAATGAATTACATGTTTCATATTATCATAATTTTAATATCAAGAACAACATTTCAGACATTTTTAAAATTAAAATACTGTTCTTCCACTCATGTATGTACTAGCCATTTGTCCGTCAGGAGTGATGGGGGGTGGGGGTGGGAACAGAGCACTACTACCCACCACCCTGCACTGTCACAGTCTCCCAGGAGTTGGGGAGGGGGAGGGGGACCTTGCCCTACTTTCCCCTCTGTCCCCCTTGGCCAGCACCCCGTGCTGCCACCTGCAGGGAGCAGGGCCGGGAGGAGGGGGTGGGCAAGGCCAGTGCCACCGGCCTCGCCCCCCCGCTCTGGCCCCGTAGCCATGGCAGTGCACCACTGATACCACCTCCTGTCCCAAACACTCTTGGAGCACTCTTATTGGGTGTTTCAGACAACCAAACAGAGTGCGAATAAAGCATTACAGACAGACACACAGACAGACTAAGGCTTTTATAATATTAGAATGTTATCAAGTCTGCTTACGGTAAATCATTTGTGTAGGCAGCTGAGACTAAGTTCCTTATGCTTACAAGTTTATATCTTAATGATATATTGTACATGATACTTTTGTACTTCTTTAGAAAGTTGTATGTAAAAAGCAGGGTAGGCCTTCAGTGTTTGTATGGTGCAAAGATGTATCCAGTTTTGCTTTTACTGAAGTTAATGTCAGTATCAAAATTGCCATTGATTTGAATAAAATGTTTTTCTATTCAAAGGTCAGATCTTCTTAAAAATAGTTTTAAAATTTGCCTTTCAATATAATAAGAATAAAAACACATTTATAATAAAATTAAATATATTATATTTTGAAGCATATACACAATATGCATTTTTTATTAATATGGCAGGTCTGTTTAACACCTAATGGCAGTAACATGAAAATCCAACAGCCAAATGAAATTCCCATAAGAAGAAATTATCTCCCTGCTTTAAAGGTAGAATATAGTACATCTGCACATCAGAAGTCCTTCAGAATCCAGGTTTACAGAATACAGGTGAGTCTTGTCAAATATAAGACAGAAGACCTAATAATCACTTAACAAAATTAGTCTTTGGGGTGGTGGTGGTGGTTGTTTTTGACCACACAAGTTATTTTTTTCTAGCTTATATGCATCCAATTCACATTCAAAAAATAAAAATATAAATAACTGATTTCAGCTTGGTACCTTTTTATAATTGGTGTATATAACAAGGTAAGTAGTATTTTCATATTTTTTATTTTGTATGTTTGTTTCCTAAAATTTTGGGGTGTTTTAGTTTTTAATGAACCTTTTGTGTGAAGAGCTAACATACACCATCTTGTCCTGTCCTTACCCTATCAGATACAAAACCAGATTCCTGGAGCCATATTTCCCTTTGTGTTTTATCCTATTAAACCTCCAAAGTCCGTCACTCTGGATTCAGGTTTGTTGATACAATTTAGTTTACTTCCCGGTTTAAGATGTATATATTTATGTACATTTGTAAATGTTTGCGGTTGTGACTGTTATCTTACTTTATCTAGCAAGATTAAAACGTGGTTAAATTTGATTAAAACTTGCATGCTGTAAAATCGAAACATTTACATGGAAGAGACGAGACGTTTCTAGGCCATTAACAGTTGAAATGAACCAAACAGAGTATAGAGAAAAGCATATTAATATTAAAAGAGAAATTATCCACCCCATCCAGCACAAAATAAATGTAGGGAATGCTTGTTTAATTCTCCCCCTTCCCTCTGCAAAGAAGAATTGGTTTCAGTTATCAGTGTTAGATGAACATTGACTCTGCACATCTTTCTGACATATTTGTAGTCAAAGCCATTACAACAACTGCGCCAAGTGTAGGTTTAGTATAAACTTACATCACTTTTTAATTTAAGTTGCACCTGTGTGCACCAGATGCAAGTTCAGCCTTGACACACTGTTCTCTTGGTAGAAAAGGAGGAGCCATTTCATAAAGGAGGAGCCATTTTATTTAAATGAACATTATTCATTTGGGGCCTGGTGGTAGTATTTCCGTTGCAAAGCTTCTCTTCGTTTATCTTTAATGGGTTAATGCCCCCACCCATGGAATTCATAGGTAGTCTGATTGGACATAGGGGTTCCAGGACTAAGCCCGATTCCTTTACTTTGGGCCACCAGAGTCTCAGCTACTTTGGTTGAATAAATTGTCTATTTTTTTCATGCCATTTTATATTACAATTTTATACTTGATTCATTTTGGTGAGGTAGTGACTTGTCTAACTTCTTCCTTTTCTGGGCATTTGGTCTGATGGTTTTAATAACAGGATCTGGCAGGGTAGTCTTGGCTCAGACCTTACCTATCCTACCAAAGCAGTTAGGTTTAAGGGGTGGTCTCCGTTTGAGGTAGCATTTACAGCTCCACAGTGTGACTTTTGCTTTGTTTACACTGCCTAATCATAAGGTTTAGTCAGACAAGACTATAAAATAACAAACCTCCCCCAAGGGGCCAGCAGAGAAAATCCTGATGAATTATTCCTGAGCATTTTTGGGAAAACAACTAATGGTGAGAAGGGGATTATTCTAGGGTTAAGACCCACAACAGGACCTCAGCAGAAGTATAAATAGAGCTGAGACTCTAAGTCAGGATGATAGTCATCTTGCCCCATGAAGAGCAAGTAGAAGTTTCCAAATACACTCCCAAAACAGGGAAAAGGAGGAAGGTAACAAATTGCAGGACTTCTCCAGGAGAGGATGCCAGTAGCTGGCAAAGAAAGTATTAATTTTAATTAATGTCTTCCCTATCAAGCATATTGGGTACATAGTTTTCATAGAGCCCTCCTTTGAAGGTGTCAGAAGATCTAAATATTACGTTCAAATGTTATATAAAAGCAGAGTAAGCCTGATGGGGAGCTTCAGTAGAAACAGATTTCCAAGCTGTCATTTTGTGTGTGTGTGTGTGTGTGTGTGTGTGTGTCCTTTTGGTTCACCTTTTACAGCTCTGTCAATGGAGTGTCTAAATAAACAAAAGGATGTAATAAGCATGGTTGTAAGGAATTGGAGAAGTGGTCCATCGAGTCCAGTAGAGATATACAGTGACCAGCGCCAACTGCTTCAGAGATGGTCCAAGTAACCATGATGGGCTTGTATAGTGCTCATAAGGAAAGTTTTCTCCTTCTTGCTACCTCATAGAGTGAGGAATGTAACAAATATTAAATTTATACAAATGCTATATTTGTACCAATACACAATGTGAGTTATAAGGTGTGTAAGTGATCTATAATGCTGAAAGTATAGCCTAAACACTACAAAAAAAGTACCAGTTTGAAATGGTAATGCCAGGTTTCATAGTGGCACATGTACTGGCTGTTTAGTTATGAGCAGACCTACAGAAATTACCATGAAGTCAAACTGTTATCTACTGCTGGTGGTATTAAACTTCAGGATAAACCTAAGAGTTGTAAATTGGTTATTTATAGAATGTGTAGCTTTCATGTTTATTTTTAATGGAACTTTAAAGTGAAATGCCAGATTAATATTTTTGCTCCTAATGCTGATCATAGCTAAAGTAAGACAATATACAGGCAACCCCCACTTAGTGCTATTTCACGATAGTGCTCATTTCACTTTGATACAGTGCTCATGGGTTTCGCTATATCGCTCACGAGTATTGGGCAGGGAGCATCGGCATCGCACAGCCTCATCTCTATCTTGCTTCATCAAAAACTTTCGTGCTCTGTGCTGTTTCATGATCTTTGTGCGTGTCACAAAATCATGTGCTTTGTTTTTTGAGTTGCACCATGAGTCAGAAATGTGCAGCTGACTCCGAGAGTGAAAGTGCTGAGAAAAAGCAGCACAAAAGTGTAATGCTGGAGCTTAAATTGGATGTCCTGAAGCGAAATGAAGGAGGGGAATGCCAGAATGAAGTCTAGACTGTTGAATTTGGCTGGGTCAACTGTTAGGACCATACTGAAAAATAAAGACAAAATAAAAGAATGTAGTAGAAGTGTAACTCCTTTGAATGCTTTGAAACTCGGTAGAAGTAGGGCTCCAATTATGTTAGAAGTGGAAAGGCTGTTAAGTGTGTGGATTGAGGATACAACTCCATGCTGTATGCCCTTGAGTGTGCTGCTATTCAGAAGAAGGCTAAGAGTCTGTATGATGTTTTACAGAAAAATTTGCCTGAGTGGTCTGCTTCTGAGCCTTTTTTTGCAAGTAAGGGGTGGTTCAAAAGATTTAAGAGGCGCAGCAACTTGCATAATGTTTCTAGTCAGGGGGAAGCTGCTAGAGCTGACACCCAAGCAGCTTCTACTTATAGAAATGAGCTTGTGGAAATTATTGAGGAGGGGGTTATACACCTCAATAAGTCTTCCACGCTGATGAGACAGGCCTCTTCTGGAAGAAGATGCCTTCTAGGACCTACATTTCCAGGGAGGAGAATAAATTCCCCCAGGTTTCAAGGTGTCCAAGGATATTCCTCAAACTCTTGGGAATCCTGGACAGTCTGCCCAAAGCTTCGCCAGACACCATTCATTGTTTTGGAGGCAACTTCATCCTGGGCAGGAGTTGATCGATTCCAATAGGGAGGAATTGAGCAATGAGGACCTCATTCAAATAGAGCAGCAGAGAAGCCATGAAGAGGAGGAAGATGTTCACCCAGCAAGGGCTTTAACCAGCAAAAGCACGGCTGAAGCTTTTCAACATCTTGAAGCTTTTCTTTCCTACTTTGATGAGAATGACCCTGACATGGAGCGCAGTTCTGCAGTTGCAGGAGGAGTTAACAGTCAAGGCAATGCTTGCAGGCTGTTTTACAATGAAAAGAAGAAGCCTGAAGTGCAGCTATCAATGGATTCTTTCTTCAGAAAGTGCACAACTCCTGTTTCAACCTCTGCAGCCACCCCTCAAAAAAAAAAACAAAAAAAAAAACCCTCTGTCAAGCACTTCAAAATCCCCTGAAACTGACTCTGACAGCTCTGACTCTGAGTGCTAAAGGAAGCCAAAAGAGCAAAAAGTGAAAGTGCATCTGTGCATACAGTTCAGTACTTTATTTTCTAATTTTATACATTATTTCAAAGTTCAAAGTGTTAAAAAAAAGTTTTACATGCATTTATATGTCTGAATTCATTGATTTTTTTTTTATAGTACTGTTTGGGATTTCAGTGATTTTTTTATAGCATGAGTGGGGAGCTTTGGGAATGAATTATATTTATTTACACTCATTCCTATGGGAAAATTGGTTTCACTTAACGCTGTTTCGCTTAGCGCTTGGTTTTCCCAGAACCTATTAAGAGCACTAAGTGGGGGTTGCCTATATTAAGATAGATATGTCTAGTTAGTTACATTTTCATGGGTGAATGAGCTAGAGTTCCATTTGCTGCTCTTTCTCTTCCTGTCCGTCCCTCTCTCCTTTTCTGAGACCATCTGTTTGCCCAGTCCTTCCATTATAGAATCCTATATGTATAGGATTCAAATCCTGAAAATAATCACAAGCATCTATAGCACTTCAAAATGTAGACAGATTTAGAAATGTATTTCACATAAAGCCTATACTGACTTCTTTTTGTACATCTTCATAGCACCAAAGCCATTTACTGATATCAGTATTGTCATGAGGACTGCAGGCCATTCTCAGATATCACATATTAAGTAAGTATATTACACATTTCATCTTTTCCTTGCTCAGTTGAGGTAGATAATCTCAGAGTGGTATACCTTATTTTCTCACATACATGTCCCCAAGTAACACGCATGCCTTGTTTTTTGGAAGGCAGAATGTAGAAGAAAAGATTTTTCCAGTCATGACTGCAAGTCTTCCTGGAAATGTGGCATCCTAGGAGACAATTTGAGTGAGGCAGCAGGCAGAAGGAACTTCCTGGTGTCACTTCAGATGCCACATTTCCAAGACACACTCTGTGTTCCCAAGAAGGCTTGCTCTGTTATGCAAAGTTAGATCCTTGCAAGGGCAGTAGCAAGACTGTTAGTTCTAGGCTATAAGTAGTTCTATATATAAGTTCTTGTAAATAAGGTGTGATTTCCACCTTACTGGCCTCATCAGGATACCATATTTTCTCACATATTCTCACATCTTTTTTCCCCAAAACCAACTGAGGAAAATTAGAGTGTGTATTATATGTGAGCAAAAGGGATCCCCACAGGTCCAGAAATTTGACTGGTGAGGTGCAGTGGCAGCATTAATTGCTGCTCTGGGAACCATTGCAATTGATACTACCACTTCCCCCTCCTCCTGTTCCCTACCACTTCATTTTTGGGCCCATGCGAGCTCTTCTCTCCAACTGCATGCTGGATCAGGCTGGCACATAAGATTGGTATGTAGCCAGACTTGGTCCACCAGGTCCAACCTGGAACATGGCCTGAGACTCTGCATGCCATGTCTGACGACCACATGCTAACTCCAGAGCCATGTGCCAAATCATAGAATCATAGAAAATGAGTGTTGGAAGGGACCTCAGGAGGCTATCTAGTCCAAACCCTCGCTCAAAGGAGGACCATCCGCAACTATATCATCCCATCCAAAGCTTTGCCTAGCTGGGTTTTTAAAACCCTTTAAGTATGGAGACTCCACAAGCTCTCTGGGTAGCCTGTTCCAGTGCCTCACTACCCTCCTCATGAAAGTTTTTCCTAATATCTAACCTAAACTTCCTCTGTTGCAACTTGAAACCATTTCTCCTCATTCTGTCATCTTCCACCACTGAGAACAAGATAGCTCTGTCCTCTTTGGAACTGCCCATCAGGTAATTGAAGGCTGTTATTAAATTCCCCCTCAGTCTTCTCTGAATAGAGGGGAATAAGCACTTTCTTCGATCTGCTGGCAATGCTCCTACTAATGCAGCCCAGTATGCCATTACCCTTCTTCACAACAAGACCACACTGTTGGCTCATATTCATCTTGTCCACTGTAAGCCCCAGGTCCTTTTCTGCAGAGATGCTGCTTATCCAGTCAGCTCCCTCTCTGTACCAGTGAATGGGATGGCTCCATCCTAAGTGCAGGGCTTTGCACTTGTCCTTGTTAAACTTCATGAGATTTCTTTTGGTCTGATCCTCCAATTAGTCTAGGTCTCTGAATCCTAGCCCTACCCTCCAGTGCATCTACTACTCCCCCAGCTTGGTGTTATCCACTAACTTGCTGAGGGTGTACTTCATCCCATCTTCCAGACCATTGATGAAGATATTGAACAAAACTGGCCCCAGGACTGAGCCATGGGGTTCTCCACTTGATACTGGCTGCCAACTAGACAGCGACCCATTGATTACTACCCCTTGAGCCTGATGATCCATCCAGTTTTCATCCACCTTACAGTCTTTTCATCGAACCCATACTTCCTTAGCTTACTTGCAAGAATATTGTGGGAGACCATATCAAAAGCCTTGCTAAAATCAAGGTGCATCATATCCGCTGCTCCCTACATCCATATAGCCAGTCATCTCATCATAGAAGGCAATCAGGTTGGTCAGGCATGACTTGCCTTTGGTGAATCCATGCTAACTGTTCCAAATCACCACCTTCTCCAAGTGCTTTGAAATGGATTCCTTGAGGATATGCTTCATGATTTTTTCCAGGGACTGAGGTGAGGTTGACCAGTCCCTGGATCCACCTTCTTCCCTTTCTTTAAGATGGACCCAATATTTGCTCTTTTCTAGTCACCCAGGACCTCTTCTGACCACCACAAGTTTTCAAAAATAATGGCCAGTGGCTCTGCAGTCATGTCATCCAACTCCCTCAGCACCCTTGGGTGCATTGCTTCTGGCCCCATGGACTTGTACATGACAAGCTTTTCTAAATAGTCCATAGCCTATTTACCTCTGTTGCCTGCTCACCTTCTCTCCAATCTGTGCTGCCAGGTACAGTAATCCGGTGGCTGACTTTGCCTGTGAAGACTGAGGTAAAAAAGGTATTGAGTACTTCAGCCTTTTCTGCCTCATCTGTCACTAAGTTGCCTCCCCCATTCAGCAAGGGACCCACATGTTCCTTGACCTTCCTGTTGTTACTGGCATACTTGTAGAAAACTTTCTTATTAACCTTTATGTCCCTTACTAGCTACAACTTCAATGTGCTTTGGCCTTCCTGATTTCATTCCTGCATGCCTGATCACTATACTTATTATATTCCTCCCTAGTCAGTTGTCCAAATTTCTACTCCTTGTAAGCTTTCTTTTTGTATTGAAGAGTTCATTGAAGAGTTTCCTGCTAAGTTAAGTTGGTCTTCTGCTGTACTTGCTAGTCTTCCTGCACATCAGGTGGTTCTTCCTTGCACCCTCAGTAAAGTTTCTTTAAAGTACAGCCAGCTCTCATGGATTCTTTTCTTCTTCAGACTGACCTCCCAAGGGATCCTGCCCATGAGCTCTATGAGTGAATAGAAGTCTGCTTTTCTTAAGTCCAGGGTCCTTATTTGGCTGCTCTCCATCATTCCTTTCCTTAGAATCCTGAACTCGGTTATCTTGTGATCACTGCTATCCAAGTTACCATTCACTTCTATGTTCCCCACCAAGTCTTCCCTGTTTGTGAGCAGCAGATCAAGAAGAGCACAGCACTTAGTTGGCTTCTTCACTTACACCAGGACATTGTCCCCAACACTCTCCAAGAACTTCATAGATTGTGTGTATTGCCCTCCCAACAGATGTCTGGGTGACTTGAAGTCTCCCATGAGAACAAGGGCCTGTGATGCAGAAACTTCTGATAGCTGTTTGAAGAAAGCCTCATCCACCTCATTGTCCTGGTCTGGTGGCCTGTAACAGACACTCACCACAAAATCACCCTCGTTGCTGTCCTCTCTGACCCTAATCCAGAGACTTTGAACAGGCATATCTCCAGTTTTATGAGCAATCATACAGCTGTCTTGCATACAGAGCTGCTGCTACTCCTCTTCTCCCCTACCTGTCCTTCCTGAATATTGTCATGGATTATACCCATCCATGACAATACTCCAGTCATGCAAGCTATCCCACCACTATATGGACATGCAAACCTGCAGTGAAATAAAAGGAGGCAAGAACTTACCATAGAGCAGCTGACATGCAGTAGTTGCCCAGATGTGTCCACTCTTCCCTATCCAACCCGAGTAAGTGAAACCAGGGCAGTTTGACCCTGAGTTCAGTGGGGTTAGAATTGCTCCAGTTTACCTCTTACTAACCATGAACTAATTATAGGCACAATTACCATGCATCCACTACTCAACGGCTACCTTAACTCACTGCAGTTTTGTTGTTTGTCCACATCCAGAGTAGGGCTTTGCATCATGTGTCTGCTCAACTTTTACAACATGGTAAAAACATTTTACTACAAAGTAAACTTCTAGTTAGCCTGTACCATCAGCTTTAACTGATATGCATGCTGTATACCTGTGCACTTAAAACACTGCATTAGAGCAAGAATTCTGCCATCTTCAAATTTTAAAAAAACCCAGATTTTCATAAAGACTTCCTATGGTGTTAAGTGAACTATGACAAAAATATTTTGGTTAAAACAAGTAGCAAATGGAAGCTTGTTAAGGCTTCAGAATAAACATCTTTAAATGAATCGTGGTGGTAACTATAAAGTATTATATAACTACATTACAGCTGATTCTTCCTCAGGAACTTTGTTCTTCCAAAAAAATTGCTACTGTTTCATTATTATTTTCTGTTGTCCTATACAGGTACTTTAAGGTACTGATTCAAGAAATGGATCTCAGATTAGACCTTGGGTTCCTATTTGCATTGCTTGATCTCTTTACACAGGCGGATATGCCCAAAGATGAAGAGGTAGAAAATGTTTAGTCATAACAAGCAAGAATGTATTTTTAATTTCAAGTGTTACACAGATGTGAAAAAAATTGATCTTCTGTTGATGTGGGCAGGAGCAGGTGGCAACACTGCTTCAGGCATGGATTAAGCAGTGTGCCCCAGTCTGCTAAATTGTTCAATAGCTGCTTACTGTTCCATGTGCACAATAGGTGGCACCAGACTTCTTTTACTATCCTTACACATTGTCATGATGTATATACCAAGAGGTGTCCAGGCTTAAGAATAAAGAATAAAACTGGCATTGAACTAGAACTTTTGTATGTTTACTGGAGTTGGAAGACTCACATTTTTAGGTTGGTTGGGTTTTAATACTAGCTGTTATTGCTGTTTTATTGACTTAGAATCTGCATGAGATGACTGCTAGAATTTTCAGCTTACACATTTGCAGTCTGTTAATGCATATTCAGCAAGTACACAGTCTGTAGATTTCAGAGCTTAACAGTAGAGAGAAAGTGTTGTTTTCCTGTTATAATTGAAAAAAATGGAGGCCTGCAGCACTGAGATGACGTGCTGAAGGTCAAACAGAGCAGAGGAAGAGGCAGTAATAGAATGCCCATCTCCTAACCTCCTAGTCAAGCGTGTTATGAATAGGATCACAGCATCACTAGTTTTGTTGAAAGACCTCTGGAGCCTCCACGGGGTGCCTCCCATGCCTTAATAATCTGCCCATCTGTTGCAGGAACACTTCATCTGTATCAATCACTCTATCTAGGAACGCATCCAGTAGGAATAAGTATGAATTTTAGAAAACACTCACAGAATTGTAAGTTTGGCAAGACCTTAGTTAAGGCCCCTGCATAGAGGCAGACTCCTCTGTTTCTAAACCTGTATTGATGCCTGTCCAGCTTCTTGAAAATCTCTAACGAGAGAGGTTTTCTAATTTCCCTAGGCAGTTTGTTCCATTGTCGTGGTTTTTTTACAGTTAGAGTTTCTCTGAGACGTGATCTAAACCTGTTTTGATGCAATTTAAACCCATATGTCCTGCTTTCTGTTGCAAGGAGGGAACATTGTATCTTCATAAGTCTTAAAAAAAAATTGAATGCCACTAATTATTTTTCTCTAAACTAAACATACTCAGTTTTTTCAACATTTCCTCATATAGTTTGAATTCCAACCCCTTTAACATCTTTGTTGCTCACCTCTTGATCTCTCCTGGTTCAATATCCTTTAAAATGCAGTGCCCAAAGCTGTACAGAACATTCTAGTCTTCACCAGCATTGAGTAGAGTGGTATTGTCACCTCCTGTGTTTTGCATTCCATGTTTCTGTTAATATAATCAAAGGCTGAATTAGATTTTATTTGGTGACAGTATTATGTTTGCTGACTCATGTTGAGTTTGCAGTTCACCATGACTCCCAGATGCCAGTATTTCTATCAATTGGCTCTTGCAACTTCCTGAAAATTGTTGTATTTCAGAATTTGACACACTAACCTATTGAATTATAAAACATATTGTTCAAAATACTTTTCCAGGTTACGCTTTTCAAAAAGGATGTAGAATCTCTCCACGAAGAATTAATGAGTGTGTCATCAATGGATACATCACAAATCAGCTTGTATGAATACTTTCATATCTCTCCAATCAAGGTATGTAAATGTCACAGAATGAGTACGATATCTAATTAAAATATTTTAATTAAAAAAGGAAAACATTTCCCTTTGAAGCAGAAAAAATGTATAACGCAGAGAGCAGTGCTGAAGTTATTGAACTTGTCAGTCTTATAAATAAGCACAAGGAGTTATACCCCTTGGTGGTGAGGGGAGATTTAATTGTGTCACAAAGTTTGGTTATAAAAATCTGCATGCTTCTCCCTTGCAGTATGTCAGTGGCTTGAAGTTGGTCATAAAAACCGTTACACCCACAGGATTTTTTGTTTGTTTGTTTTTTAAAATATATTAACATCCTTCCTCACATCTTCAATTGTTCCCATTTTTCTGAGAATTCACAAGGTTAAATTTCTCGGGTACATTTTTTCCACTTACTTCCCAAACCCTGTCTCATAGAGTTTATGCAGACACTTGCTATATTGCTGGACAAGGGATTCATGCACACAGAATTTTTAACACTTGTGTAGTGTTGATCTATATATCTAAGAGAGGTTGCACTTGTGAAGAAGACCTCTCACCCAACTAGTGGGTGGGGGAGAAAAGAAAAAAATACCAGGAACTCAAGGACACTGAAAGTGTAAACCTGGCTTAGCCTTTGATGTTGCAACATATTCCAGCTTAAGAATCCAGTGCTAAGAAGAAGGTATAAGGTAATAACAAGGACATTTAAGTTACCAAAGAGAACCTGTTTGTGGAACTAAAGGTGAAAGAAAATCACTTCATAAAGTAGCCTGCATCTTCATAATTAGATTCAAGAAAGTTCAACATAACTAGTTCTTAGGAACTTGAACTGAATAGTACCAGAAACCAAAGGAGCTTAAGTCCCACATCAACAAGCAGTAAAGGCCATAAAGGTTTTTTAAAGACTTTCAGAACATATGTTCATTCTGCCATTTTGGGTGGCTGCAAATTTCTAACTATTATAGATTCGGAATCTTTTATAGTTCCCAACCACAACTGTACACTCCTCCCTCAATTTGGGGTTTTTCCAGTTTTTATAAGCATTTCCAGTGTGAGTTTTGCAAGCCTTGATTTCTGTACCTATGCTGTCAGTATCTTGAGTTTTGAGAGAAATACCTAGTTGCTTTTTGGAAAGAAGGCATATATACTTTGTACATTGTAGAAACCTACACTAACAATGAGATGCTTTCCAACCATCTATAGCTTCTCATACTTATCACAGGAAAATACCACTACCAATTTCGAGTCTTGCTACTAAGTCCATTGGTAGGTAAAGATTCAGCAGTAGTCATGACCTGCCCTCCCATGCTGATGGTATGCTATTTTTTAAGAAGTGTACCAATAGATCGTTTCATATCCTATTAGCACTGCTAAAAGTAAAATTGACATAATTGGCTTTTGTTTGATGTGGCCGATAATGTTGCTGATAAATGCTAGATGCATGCGTGTAGCTCGGCAGCTTGGAGAGTAGCATCCAGCTGGTAAGTCTGTGGGGAAAGGGGGTGGGGGGAGGGAATGGGCATCGGAGGGTGCAGAGCGAGGCCCCCGTAGTGAAGGAGGTAGTGGGGCTGGGGCAGGGGCAGACACTGCCCAGCCAAGGCGTGGCAGGCCATAGGACAGAGATGCGAATGACTTGTCCAGGTGCAGGGGGTGGTGGCTCCCACTGCTGGTGCACCCCAGGGGAGGCACAGAAGGGCACATTCCCCTCAGATCTATGCATGGGGGGAGGGCAGGCTGCGAGCTGAGGCCAGGAGCGGCACTGAGCTCTTTCTGGCTGGAGGGCTGGGCCGGGGCTGCACTCGGGTGGTGGCAGCACCAGGAGGGGGGGGCTACAGCGAATTCTGGGGTGGCCACAGCCCACCCCATAGCACCCCCCCCAGTGTCGCTGTCTCCCACCCCAAAAGCAGCCCCAGCCCAGCCCCTCACACAAGGAAAAGCCTGGTGCTGCTCCTAGCCCCAGTTCACAGCAGCAGCCCACCGTCACCTCATGCACAGATCCAAGGGGATCTGCACCCCCCCACACACGCCCCTTCTCTCCCCCCACCCCTTTTCCCCCATAGACTTCCTAGCCTGACACTGCTTTCCAAGCTGCTGGGATGCATATTGGCAATTGTTTCCATTTCAGCCGATATGGCTCATTAATAATCAGTCATCGGTATCGGCCCAAAATTTCTTTATTGGTGCACCCCTACTTTTTTTTTTTACTAGTATGATTTATTTGTTCATCAAAGACATATTCTAAAAGATATCAAGAAAGCAATCACTGTCACTGTTGAAGTGATCATATCAATGGGGTTCATAATAAATTCACCAAGGTCACGTAGACGATTTGGAATTTGGACAATAGGATCTCAGTGCCTTACAGACCCAGAACAAGGATCCAAAATCAGTAGGCGATGGTCCAGATCATGACATGAAAATAGAATCTGTTATTATTTGTAGTTACAATATTTTTTTTCTCTTCATAAGAATGCTAGGGCCCTGAGACAACGGTTCTGTATTATGGATTCCTTTGGAGTGTCTCTAGCCTGAGACAGTTCAGGAACAGTGCAGTTTGGTATACAGTTCCAGCTTAGTATATTTGATAGCCTTTTCAGCCTTGGAGGTAGAAAAGTGTTTCTGTCACCCTCTATTGTCTGGTCTCTGTGAACTTGATGTTTTTGAAATCACCGTTTGAAAAAAAACCCTTGTACATGAATTACAAAAGTTTACTTTTCACTAACCCCTCCATATTTTAACCACCTGTGTTAAGAAGAAAGAATTAATTCTTAGAGATCATCAAGGACACTTTGTATGGGTCAGGGAAAGTAATATACAATTAAGCCAACTCTTTGGGGTGGGGGGGATATGAGATCTTATCAAGAAATTTTGATAATCCTAATGGAATAATAGTACCTTTTCCCCCAGATCTTCACATTAGAAATACCGTAATAAAATTATTTTTAAAAAAGCTCTCACTTAAATCACTTACCTTCTTTGGACAGCTGACACATGTGAACGCAAGAGAAAAAGGTTTAATCTCTATAATATATGTCATTATAATAGGGAAAGGAACGAATAGGAAAACTAAGCAAATGAAAGAGACCCAAGGAAAGAAATTGACCTGGAACAATACAGAAAAATATGGGAACAGAATAATGTATCTTCCATAGGTGTTTTACACAGAAAACTTTTATAAAATACTCCGTAGATGATGCATATTTTCAAATAAGATCCCTCACATTTTCTAATGATGATGGATCATGTTAGAGAGGCTGGAAAAAGAGGCTCCTTTTTTTCCATGTGGAGTGGCTGTACCCAGAGGTCCAAATATCTTGGGAAGAAGTGACCAAGAATTATAACGGTTGTGGTAGGTGGTAAAACCCCTTGGAATCCACTGCTTTGTCTGTTGTTTGTCCCAGTAAAAGGAAATGTACTTTGCAGAATGAAAAGCTGTTACCTTTTTGGATTTTAATGCTTAAATTTTGTGTAGCACTCAAATGGGGAAGCTATCGCAATACACTCTCCCCACCTCCCACCCTAAAAATGTGATATGATAAAATATGGGACATCCTGTAGATGTATCTGTAGCTTCAAATTAAACTATTAAAAAAGAGATAAAAATTGGATACATATTTAGAAGTATGGATTCCATTCCTGGCCTGTGCATAACACAAAAAATCACCAGCAAGTAGGCCAGAATTTTTGTCCAGCTTCTTTAAATGTTAGTGAATGTAACTGACTGTTGTATTGACATATATTATCATTATATTAATAGTACAGGTGATTGAGTTAGGAGAATTGATTTATATTATTAATAAAGTCAACCTTGCGCAATTTCTATGTAGTACACTTGTGTTGGAATTGTTTTTTTTTAAATTGCCTGAATTAAAATAAATAAATGAGTAAATAAATGCTCAGATATCATGGAACAATAATATATTCACATATTTGTTGGGAGCTTATCATAAACCAGTTTGTTATATATTCATTTTTTGTGTAAAGACTCATTTTGCTTAAGGCATTGATTTTATAGAAGGAATGGACTTCACCTTACTACCAAGATTTATAAAAGAAAGGTTGATTTTGTTATTCATGCTTATTCCCCAAGGTATAAGGCTATCATCCTGTTTAGTACATCTCTCATCCCACTTGGCCTTTCTCCATTTTTTGCATGAAAGGGGTGGATTACATGGTTAAGTTCCAGTGTTTTACTAAATAGTACTGAACCAAGTGAGAATCTTGTATAATGTTTCCTTCAGAGAATCAGAATGTCAGTTTCTCTCTTGCATCACTATCTTGATGTTCAGGGTCTGTGAAAAGCAATTTATTCTTTTTAAATGTAATTGTTTCTGTTTTGTATTTGCTGTACACATCCAGTTTGTATAAATTAGATGTAATTAAAGAATCAGAGTTTTTTTTCTTAAGTGTGCTTTATTTGACTATATTGGTACCTTACTGTTCTTAATTGTGGTCGATAAAGTGATCTACTCCCACACTTTTCTGTTAAGTGAAATTAGTCCTTCATGGTATTTATTCCTATCCTTTTATTTGCTGCTTGTCAGAATATTTACCCTCAATGGGAATTATCTTTTATATTTTATTCACTTATGGAGTAGAAATCTGTCAGTTTTTCTTTAATCAGGTTTAGTGTCCTTAAACTCTTCTTTGTCAAAAATATTTGTTGTTGAGCACAAAGGTAGTTTGCCAAATTCCAGGAAAAAATGCTGAATATATTAAAGTGTGGGGTGCTTGCAGTTTAATGTCAAATGGAAATTGTTCTTATTAGAGTGAATTTTAGCCAAGATTAAGAAATGTCTATCCCAATTTTAAAATAATTTACATTTTTACACAAAAACTTGTTAAAGCATCATTAAAGTAATAAGTAATCAAATGTTGTTCTACATTCTCTTTTTTATTCTTCCAGTTACATTTAAGTTTTTCACTCAGCACTGGTGGAGAAGATGGCAACAAAGAAGAAAGACAAACTGAACTAATTCCAGTTCAATCTTTGAATCTCCTGCTGAAGAGTATTGGTGCCACACTCACAGATGTACAAGATGTTGTCTTTAAGTAGGTTTGATATGTAGCTCTAAAATTTAAGTGTATACATTAAATCAACATTTCAAACACACAAATGTATTATTTTGTTCCAAGTAATATGGTCTTATTTTAGGTTGGCTTTCTTTGAACTCAACTATCACTTCTGTACAACCACACAGCTACAATCAGCAGTTATAAGACATTATTCAAAACAGGTTAGTGTAATAATAATGTATTCCTTTCCCTAAATACACTGTTTTGTACTCCAGCTAGAGCTGTTTATAATATATATATATATATTTTTTGTCCCATGCTCAAATGTATGCTAAACAATTTGGTTGGGACCAAGTTGGTGTCCTTTAAAAAAAAAAAAAAAAAAAAAAAAAAAGACACTCCACCAAAAAAAGCAAGTAGCTGCATTTTAAGGTATCAGTTTAAAATTGTGTCAATTTAAAAAAGATGATTTTAAAAGCCATTCTAGATACTGTACTTGCCATTGAATTCCCTTGCCATTTTATTTTACAGTTCTATTTTCTGTGGCTTAATTTTTGTAGCATAAGTGACCAACGCAAACAGATCAACCGGAGTATATAAACTACATTAAATTGTTGCTCATGAACCAAATTCTGCATTCTTTTTGTGAAAAGCAAATAGTACCATAGTTTTCAGTGTACTGGTAGGTAAAGAATAGACTGCGGATAACAACGTAAAAAAGCTTAATGTTAACAAAACAGATTACCTGTCTTAATAGTTTATCTCAAATACAGTAACTTTTGAATTATAGCTGTTCCTTAGTAGGTGGGTACCGCTAGTCTTTACATCTTCTAGATGGAAATCTGCTACCAACACTTCACACACTTAGTATAGCCTTGCTATCCCAGTCTTCAGAGACAAATCTGAAATTTAAATCCCTGTTTCTAAAATAGACTCCAGGATTCCCTTTCAGTTTATCAGTTAAGAACTCAATAATCTGGCAAAGAATTTGGCATCTTTTCTTATTCTCCAAAACTCCGAAGAGGACGATTTGAATCCACTAAGTAATGTTCCCTTACATTTTCTATCCAGTTATAAATCAAGTTGATTCATGGGTAACATTTATGAATTAATTCCTGCCTCGTAAGTCTTGTCTTAATATATCTCTCAAATCAACAAGACTACGTTAACTTTGTCATGTAGTGACAAAGCAAGAGAAATATATATGGAAATATTTGACATGTCTATTTTATATAACCTGGGTCTACAAGTACTAATGTGTATTAATCATAATTATATGATTTTAGGGGGCTGCAGATTTAGAGTTGTTTCACTATCTTATATTTCTGTTCAGGTTTTTTGTTTACAAAATAAATTTAATTCAGAATCTTTAAATTATATTGGGGTTTGTGTGGGGAACAATTATAAGATGCTTGTAATATTTTTATGTTAAACTACTGATTTAAAAAAAAGCTGTTCCTTTCTGGCATTGTTTCTGTCTAGAAATAATGGGTATAATTGTGAATTCATAGCATATTACTGCATTCCAACTATAAACCAGTCATCTAATATTTTTTGAATGTGTATTATTTGTCTTAGCATAGTTTCTACACAAGTTGTTCTCAGCAAAGATGTGCACAGCATTAGCATGGTTAGGTATGCAAACACCTATACATGATTCACAAAATAACCCCAGAAAATTCAAATAGGAATCCATAGGATCAAAAACATCCTGACCCATCCTAGTCTAAGGAGTTTTGAAACAAAACAATTGCTCTGTATTATTCCATATTTAGAACAATGTATGAAAACTAAGAGCTAGCATTTTACAAAGGGGGGGAGGGGAGCTTAAGTCTAAAACTAATGAGAAACACTGTTCTACAAAACGTCTGTTTATGATGTGTTTTCTTCCTACTTAATTCTCTTTTAGGCTATTAAACAAATGTATGTTCTTATACTTGGCCTTGATGTTTTGGGTAATCCATTTGGCTTCATTAGAGGTTTGTCTGAAGGAGTAGAAGCATTCTTCTACGAACCATACCAGGTAAAAAAAATCTCCATTTAGTTTCTAGTGAAACTCATTACGGTTGATAAATGACTTGGATATTTTGAAATCTGGATATTTCAAATAGCTTTCATTTAAAAAATTGGTTTAAGCTCACAACTTCTGCTTCTAAAAAAATCATTCAGATCTATGTAATTGTCAGGAAAATAACAGCAAGGATATGTAAATGCAAGAATATGTAAAAGCTTGTTTCCTTACCTGACAAAAGACGTTCTTTGTATTGATTGATTTTAAAATATATATTGTGTGGTTTTAAGACTCATAATCTGAAAATTTTTCATAATTTCTTAAACTTTTACATTATATACAAAAATTATTTATATCTTTTTTTGAAATTACTAAACTTCTTTTTTATAACTAGTTTCCTGTCAGTTAATGTGGGGTTTTTTTTCAGGGAGCCATCCAGGGTCCTGAAGAATTTATTGAGGGAATGGCACTAGGACTTAAAGCACTAGTAGGCGGAGCTGTTGGTAAGCTGCCATATAGCTACTGTGCGTGTGTGTTCAGTGGTGACTGTGCAATCAGATCACTATATGCGTTTACAAATTTTATAATTTTTACAAAGTGTTTCATTTTTTCTTAGGTGGATTAGCTGGTGCTGCATCCAGGATTACTAGTGCTATGGCTAAAGGAGTGGCAGCAATAACCATGGATGAAGACTACCAACAGAAGAGAAGGGAAGCCATGAATAAACAACCTACTGGCCTCAGAGAAGGCATTACTCGTGGAGGGAAAGGCTTAGTATCTGTAAGAAATATTACTTCAGAAAAAACGGGCAATTTACTTCAAAGTAACTGTGTAAAGAAATGTACTATATATTGAGAAGAAGAGTAAAAGAATAGGTACACACTAAAATAATAACTATTTGGAGAGCTCCTTTTCTCTGTTTTAATTTTGTCTTTGCAAAGTTCCTGCTACACTAGGATTGCAGTTCTAAACTGAGAATATACTGGGATTTATAGGAGCCATGAAGAAATTAGATTTGTGTTTGAGGCTTAGAAACCCTTCTAGCTTGGCGCCCATTTTTAAGTTGTTCATCTTTAAAGCACAGGAAAATTATTTATAAAGAACATATTTTTGAGGGTTCTCTTATTTCTCCCGACAGGGCTTTGTTAGTGGCATAACAGGAATAGTGACAAAACCAATAAGAGGTAAGTGCAGGTCTTGCTATGTATTAGCTGTAAATAGGTTTTTAATTCTTATGTTCACTGAGAAATGTTGTAAAACTGAAACATCCAGTGCGTTTTGGTGTTTTGTAATTGAGTTTTGATTTATGGTAACCTTTGTAATGTCCATCTTAATTATGTAAACATTTGGTTCAAAATAAAGCATACTTCTTTATAAATCAGTGAAAGTAGTAAAAACTAATGGTCATTATTTAGGTTTTCCAGTATCTATAAAGTAATATTTTTATAAACATCTTTACTAAAGATCTTTCTCTCTCAATCATTTGTAGGAGCCCAGAAAGAAGGAGCAGCTGGCTTTTTCAAAGGTGTTGGGAAAGGTTTAGTGGGAGCAGTAGCAAGGCCCACTGGAGGAATCATAGACATGGCTAGCAGCACATTTCAGGGCATTAAAAGGTATCAAAAATAGAATGAACAGAGTAGGGCATAAAACAAGAGGTGTATAAGTCCACTGATGCTAGATGCTCTTAATTTTTTTAATAGTAACTGTTCTGCTTTTTCAGGAGCATTCAACTTTTCGTTTGTCTTTGCAAATGCTGCAGAAAAATAATTTGTATTAAATGCGTTGTTATTTATACTGGTAACAATCCATTATCTAAGTTTGGTGTAATCATTTGATGATTAAAAACACAGTATTGAATCGCTACTAAAATAAGATTGCTCATCTGTCTTAGCCATTGCCAACTCAAGCTAAAGTTATATTTAAAGTTGGCTTGAAATACCAGCTCTACTTAAAGTTTCATAATCAAAACTACTTCCACAGCTATGACCTTGCATCTTACCCCTAATGCCCAGAAAAAATACATCTTTCGAGTTGGTAAGAATTTTAATTTTTACAGCATCTAGAATACCAGAAGAGAAAAAGTAAAATCCAAAACTAAAAAGTTTTTGTTAAGAACCTCTCCCTCTTTCACAGAACTTCAGCTTAAGTGCCTACTATGGCAACAGCTATGGATTGACTTGTAAAAGTGATATCATGTCTTATATGTAACTGAATAGAAGTTACTTTTGCACTACAGCAGATTAAAAAAATTAGAAAATATTTTAAGAGGTCATTAAATTGCTCATGTTGACTAAAGGTATAAGTTGATTCTCTTATTGCTGTTCAGGATTTAGACTATTAGTTCTTTTACCTCGTGCCCATTCTGGATAGTGTTCTGTCCTTTGTAGTGTCTTTGTGGTGATTATGAAATATAGATGGAGGAAAACATCAAAGAAGTTAGGAAGATTTATATAGCTTAGGGCTCTTTTTTTAAATGGGGAAGTTTTTTAAATTAAGAAATTATGTACACATTTACCTAGTCATATAATCATGTTCTGCACTAAGTTCTCCTTTGAAATAAATGTCATCTTGTGTACCAGCAAACATTCAGTAAGGGTACCTGTACATGTCATGGTGTTTAATCCTCATTAAATTAAATAGGTTTATAAAATTTAAACTTGTTTATTTTGGAGTGTCACATCAGTGTTTGCACATACTAGATTTTCAAGCAAATTAAGCCTGGTCCCTGGCCAGCACCACAGGAAAAGATATTTTAAATGTATATCATTATCCCTGCTACATGTAAACTGTTCTGAATTTGTGCCTTTTCAGAGTTACAGATTCTTCTGATGATGTGACAAGTCTGCGTCCGCCTCGTTTCTTTGGTGAGGATGGAGTTATTAGGCCTTACAGATTAAGGGATGGGACCGGAAGTCAAATGTTACAGGTGAAGAAATATGATCTGCTATAAATGAATTGAATGAAAAGATTTATATACATTTTTATTTTTATGTTTTGATAGGCAAAAATAGTCTCCCTTTAATACATTTTTATGCACACTTGGATACATTTTAATTTAAATTGTTTAAATTCTACTGTAACTACTGTGCTTATTAATTCAGAATGTCAAAGTAATGTTTTTGCAGTATCTGGGATTTTGTCATACTGCATCAGTTGTGAAAGTACTTAAATTTTTTTAACTGTTAGGCTTTAAAAAAATCTAGACTTCAGTCACTGTAGAAAGGAAACTGAACCATTTAACTTTAAAAAATTACAAATCATATTGTAATAATTAAAATATTACTAATAATCATTATTTTTGGAAGTTCATCATAATGTTAAAATCAATTACAGCATTTGGACTGTAAGCCAGTTCATTAATTAGGTAAAAATTTCCAAACATCAATTTTTCTTTCCTTAGAAGTGAAGCTGCATTTAAACATATCCATCAGTGGGAAATGACAGAACTGGCTGCACCACTATTAAATTGAGCCAACCAACAATGGTAGATAGGAGACTTAAAGCTTTATATTAAGAGATTCCACTTGAGCTACTTGGACAGTTTGCCAGAGTAACTCAGATCTGGAGATGAATTACAAAGAATTTAGTGACTTCCTAAAGTGTGGTGGATGGAAAAGTAATTCAACACATTGAAAAAGCCTTTGTCTGGCTGGAAGCTTTGATTCATTTAGACCAAGTTCTAAGAGATACTGGAGTGTGAAACATGAAATTAGACTCTGGTCATTTCTCATCCAACGCGCTTTAGGTCAAGCCCCTCCCTCCCCCCCGCCATTTTGAAACGTGGGGATACACGACATGCTCTGTGTGCTTTAATTAGAGCGCCACTCTAATTAAAACATCCGCACCCCTGGAGCACATGTATAAATGCCCTTAATTTTCATTGTCCTGAAGAGTTCTAATATAACCTATAATGAAAATCCTATATGAGCTATGATTCTCCTTCTCTGTCTCATGATTCAGCTGAATTTCCTGTGCTGTTGTCTTACAAAACGTACTAAAAGGCAGTGTACCCTTAATTGGCAGAGTTAAAATCTGCTATTTCTGAACTAGGTCTCAAGTCATCACTAATCTTCCTCTTTCTTCTGAGTTGATTTTTCAAGGGACTTTCCTTTGCTCTTGTGTCCTATAGTAGTAGTAAAGTAGAATTCTGACAAGGCTATAAGTCCAATACCATTTACATAAATTTGTGTAAATTTCTGTTGTTTATGCTCAGTCTTAAATTTCCAAGTGTTTGAGTTACTTGTGAAGAACTTTGGGGACAGGCTACAGCCAATGACTGATTGATAGACTGATTCAAAATGTGCAGTTTTACTTTTTATGCTCTCTAGATTCGTAGAGTGCCATTTTCTAAAGATGACATAGTAATAAAACCTGCCACTGCCATCCCAGCATCATCAGCAGCAATTTGAAAAAAAATGAACTTGTAAATCGTAACTTTCAGGGGTTTTTTATGGATTTTTTTAAAAATAATTTTGAAGACTTCAAGCAGGGATAGAAGTTATTCATATTGTTAGTCCTCTGGGAACAGGAATGTTACATTTAGAGTTCAGCTTCGTGGTAGACTCTTCATTTTTTTTTTTCAAACATGTTTTCTGTATATACTAGTCACTGTTTTTCCCAGGAGACAAGAACCCAATTTTTTTAAATTCTACAACCTTTAATTCATTAAGTCCTTAAAAGTATTTTGTTTTGTTTGGGAACAGGAGAGCCTTCCTGTATAACATAAGTTACAAAGTCCAAAGTATTTCATGTGGCTAAAATAATAATAGTTCCTTATGAAATAATTCTTTCTCTCATCATATTTTCTGATTTTATTGGTAAAATAAAGTCCATACAGATTAGACAAAAATCTTCTTTTAAAAATATACAAGATTTTTGTCCAATCAGTATGTTTCTTTTATTAAACATTAATTTACTACTTAAGATGGTTTTGGACGTCAGCTGACAACAGCAGAATGATTAGAGAAATGCAGTGATCTTAAGGTTGTTGTCTTGTGTTTAGCCATAGCCCTGCTAAAGGCATTGAATGTAGCAGTCTGCTTGTATGGAACAAACTGAAAAAATGTCAATGATTTCATACATTGTTGCCAGGTGTTAATAGTGTTCTAGCTTTGGTAGTCCAGAGATATGAAGACGACAAATTAGGTAGTTGAGAAAGAGAGAAGACAAGGCTTCAAGCATCATTGTGAGACTTGATGAAGGACAACTTAACCTCAAAAACTTGTCTCCTCTCTTTCCCAAATGTGCAAGTTGTTCCTGTAAAAAATGTCCTATTTCATCTAAACAATCTTGCCCCTCTCATTGTCAGGGTCATAACTGTACTGGAATACTCCTGTTGTATTGTCAATTCATAAGCCATTTGAGAATCATTTTTTGCCTTTTTTTTTTCTTGTTAAACTAACCTGTGAGCATAAACTAATACTTCTGCTTTTTTTTTTTCTTCCTTTATCATGCTTGCAGAAAAGACAGGCCTACAGGGAATGGACTGGCACTCGTAGTAGTAGTAGTAGTAGTAGTGATGATGATTTTGATGATGAGTTAGAATAATATTTACTGTTACAAATGCATATATTCTTTGTCACATTAGCTGGACAACTTATTTACAATACTAAATGTTGCTACTACTATAATTGCTATACAAGTATAAATTGACTGTTTTAAACCTTATCTTAAAATTGTACAAAACTGTAGGCAAAGAAGATGCGTAGTGGCAAAAGTTAAGCACAGGAAGTATGTTCTAGATTAAACCTTATTACAGTAAAATGGTAGTAAATTGCATCAAATTCTAGTTTACTATTGTGTGTCTAGTTTTTTTCCAGCTAAATTTCTATAAGGTTTATTTAAATAATGTTTTTCATTTTCATAAGCATTTTCTATTTAATTTAGATCACCGTTTGTTAGCCTCTTATAAATGTGTTCAGTGTAATCTTACTCAGTTGTACTGTGCTTATTGATATTAAAAATGCTCTTGAATATTTTATATTCTATTTATTTGATATTTCAAATATATTTTGTCTTCCTTTCTTTTGATAACAATAAATGTCTAAAAATATATCTAAAAATGGATTCATCTGTTCTGTTCCAACATCATAGCTCATATTTCCAGAACTACATTTTGTTATATCTTCATGATTATCCTAGAAAGGATAGATCTAAAAAAATCTTTAAAAAAATTAATCATTCTTTATTATTTTCATTCATTGCAACTTCAGTGTATTTCATTTTTAAATATTACTTCAAGTTTTTGCCTTTTTAGAATCTTAAAGTGAAGAAAATGTTGATTATCCAAGAGCCCTGTTACACATTCAAATTAAAACTTGATAGAACCCAGCTATAGAGTTGTTACACATTTTCAAGCACTAACTTTGTAGCTGATGCTCTTTTTGTAGCTAGATGGATATTTTTATGGTGTGACAATTACTTTGCATATGTGGCCAGTCTAAATTTACTGCGAGTGTAACCAGTTAATTGTGTAACATATGTAACATAGCAGGGACCTTAGTCCTAAATTCTTACCTGACATTTTTTGTTTTTCATATACTATAAATGAATCAGTGTGCATTTATATTTATATTCATATTTATATTTATATAGTTAAATTTATATTTATATTCATTTAAGGAATATATATTCCTTAAATGAATATAAATATAATGTTGTAAGAATGCACTGACATCTTGGGAAAATGCCACTGGTCTTATCAGTCTCATCACTTTTCTGTATAGTAACATGGAAAAACTTTAAGGTATTTCTGAACAAGTTAGAAGAAATGGAAGAACATTGATAAAACTTTCTCAGCATTTTATTGGAAATTTTGATGCGTTAGTATAACCGCTTTCTTTTTTTTAAATTAAGTGCTTTATTTACATTTCTATACTTATAAGTTGACCTGAACTTTTTTCCTAGTTGTTTTATGCTACTAAATTTAGTTGTATTGTAAAGAGTTTCTAGAGTATGCTTTGTTTATTAGTATTTTTTATATAATAACTTAGCTGGTTTGTTAAATATTGGCAGAATGACTGTGCTTTAAAACAAAAAGAACCTCATCATTAGTGCCAATTTAAATCTTATCATATTAAACAATAGTAGTTACTCCTATCAGTTGCATAAATGTAGAAGGAAGAATTAAATAACCTGGTGGGGTTTTTTTCATGGCATTGACAATTATTTTGCATTTAAAAGTTGCTACACAGTATTCAGTCTTGTGCAGTGAGCAAAGGGATGAACATTGATTCTAGATAAAAGGTTAAGGAAATTTGACGTAAGAGCTCATTTTAGATGGTGCAAAAGATATAATGTGCTTTGCACCTCTGATTAGTTTTGATACTGGAATTCTTAAGGCAAGTCCTGTGAAATCGGTTGGAGAATATATTGCATTTAATTACTTCCTTAAGATAGTGAAGAAAGAAGTATAGGCATATGTTAGACATCCATTTAAAACGATACAATGATATATTTAATTGAATACATAGTGAGACGAGTAGGCATTCTTTAATCCTGAAAAACAGTTTTAAATTAATCTTTCTGAAAAGGTTACCAGTATGCTATATTACAGTCAGTGCTATTAAGCAATAACTTTAAATCAAATATCTGACTTTTTCTTTTCCATTTTAATATGTATAGTTGGTTTCATTACACCAATATTTGTATTCACTCCAGTTTCCTCTCTTCTCTGTAGTAAGCCATCTGTCAACCTTCAACCTAGCGAATTTAAGTTTCATAACAAAAACTGGGATAACTTTAAATAAATGGAAATGTAGTCACTTTCAATTTGACCATACAGAGTAGTTCTGTAAAAATTGCATGGCTGGTTCCAGGTGACTGATGATTCAGTTAAATTTGCATTATGCTAGGCCATCTTACAAGCATAATGGTCCAACTCTGAAATTGTCCTTGGACCTAAAAGTAAAGTGTTTTTCCTATTTA